CCCCCCATCTCAGCTGTTTCCCTTCTCTCTTACTCGTCGCGGGTTATATGCGTGGGCGGGGTATACGGAAAATATTTTACACGATCCCGATAACCCGCAGGTTATTCGCGTGGGCGGGTTATATGCGTGGGCGGGTTATATGGGTGAAAATACGGTAATACTTTGCTTTGAGTTGATTTTACTTAGACATGTAATTTTGCATTCTTCTTAGTTGGTCCACCAGCTTTGGTGCCTTTCTACCTGCAGTGGTATGTTTTCTACTTCGTTGTTCGGCGCAAAAATTGGGTGGTAAGTAGTATTTCCATTGTGGTTCCAAAAGGAGGTTGCATTTCCATTGTAGCATAATAAAGGGAGCCACAGCAAAAATGTAGATGAGTTTTTAGGATTCTGCAGGTGCATCTTGGTATGGGATTATACCACACTATTTGACAGAATATTTCTCTGTTTTTTGTGACAGGATTTGGCTTGGATGGTGACCTTCTATCTTCGGTTTTTCATAACATACTCATTTCTATTAGATCTCAAGAGCCTCTTGTGTCTTTTTCTCCTGCTGAGGTGAGTTCCAATTGATCCCACACTTTTCCTGATTTCTTTGGGTTTCCATGCCATGTCCTTGTAGGCAAAGCTTTGTGCCTTATACAGCCACATGTATTGGCTTTCAGGTTCTGCAATACCAAAGGTTTGATTCTCGCACATTTGGGAGGACACCAATTGGGGCAAATTGAATAAATACATACATCGATATTCATAGCCCAAACCAGAATTTTGCTTTCTCTCTTGCTTGAGTGCTCTGATTCAGACCAGGAATGGAATGCCTTAGCCTTCCCTGAGAGGATGTTGCGGGATGATCATGTACAATGCCTTTTTGCATCTATAGATGCATTGTGTCTTCTCAGAGTTGCTTTTCAGCAGATGGCAAAATCTAGTCAACCTTAGTTGATCTTGGAATGGCCAAGATTCCAAGCAGCTTTGACCATGGTTACAGTACTTGGATTTTAGACCCCCCTGGAAGTTTCAGGGTTGTTGGTTAGACCTGGAAGTTTTAAAATCTTCCTGGAAGAAGAGAATGTCAAATTCCTTCTATCACATTGCCAAGGTATGGCATGTATATACTCATATAGAGGTGAACTCAAGAAGAACATGTCTTTTCCTTTCTTTTAATCAGAGTTAGGGTCAGGGTTTTCTCTTCACATCTTCCCAGCCATTATACTGACATTTTCTCAGTGGAAAACAAATGCTAAATAGGCTACACCCAAGTCTATTTTCTATCATGAAGACTGATGGATTATGTCAGTGATGGGTTTCAATTTTTTTAGAACCTCTTCTGTAGGTGTGGCTTGCTTTGTGGGAGTGGCTTGCCGGCCATGTGACCGGGTGGGAGTGACTTGCCAGACATGTGACCGAGTGGGAATGGCTTGGCAGTCATGTGACTGGGTGGGAATGGCTTGGCAGTCATGTGACTGGGTGGGTGTGGCCAACTTGTAAAACGTGGTGAAACTCACTTAACAACACTCTTGCTTAGCAACTAAAATGTTGGCTCAGGAACTCTGGCATTCGAAGCACGCAAGTCTTAAAGCTGTCAAATTACAAGACCCTTGCACCCCTTTTAGAAAAAAAAACCCAGGGGTGTTCATACTTGACAGCTTTAAGACTTTAAGGTTTAGATAGGACTCTTAGAGGTGGACGGGGTGATTGGTGAGCCAGCCAATCAGTGATCGGCAGGTGGGGCAAGCGTGGTGCGGACGGGTGGGGGAAGGAGCTGGAACCAGTTCTAAACGGCACTGTAGATTTGTGGAACCTCCTCTATATAAGAGGTTAGAACTGGCAGGAACCCACCCCTGGATTATGTGCCATCAAATGGTTTTTGACTCTTGTGACATCGATTTTCTCCATGAGAATACGAGATTAATCTGCTCTAATTCACAGAGAAATCTACAGCTCCAAAACTGGAGTTCTTCCTCTTGTCTCAAATAGAGAACCAATTTGGTGTAATGATTAAGGAGCTGAGCTAGAGACTGTGAGTTCCAGAATTCCTGAGGCATGAAAGCCAATGGAGTGACTTTGGGCCAATCATTTTCTCTCAACCCAACTCACCTTTCAGGGTTCATATTGTTGGAAAAATAAGAGAAACACCACATACACCATTTTGACTTGTACAAAATAAAGATGGGAAATTATTGTTAGGGTTATTGTTAGTTGTTAATAAAAATATTGTTATAATTATTATTAATAATAGTAGAGGTTCTTAGTATACTACAGTTATTCTGAATAGTAATGATCATGAATTCTTCAGTAGCTTTTCTTTGCTAGAAATATGCATCTGGTAAGTTTGCTTTTGTTTAATTTTCTTCTAGTTGCATTTCTCCCTAATTCTTCTCCTCTTCTGGTGTTTCTGTTACTTCCAAACTGCTTTATTTGTACTTTTGTGTAGGCTGCAAAATTGTAATCTGCTTTTATTTTTGCTGCATAGAATCATAGAAAGTCACTGGTTTGTCTGGGTGACACAAATGAACCACATCCCAATGGCCATTGATTATGATAAGAACATGGACTGGGTTTCAATGCAGGTGAGATGCACATCCTCCCCAACCCTTATTTCAAGGGACATATCTTATTCATATATAAATGCAATATAATAGATGGAGTGGAGGAAGGCAAAAGAGAAAAATGAATTTCTCCTTCTGAGGAAGAAGACTGGTGTGACGCATGAACTATCTGATCTCAAGCTTTGATAGTCTTTAGATATATGATGAAATAGATTTTGCCACTTAAAATTCCCCTCTCGGCCACAAGTATTTGGGCATGCAGATCAAGATCTGTCCTGGGATTAAAACATTGCACAAGACTAGTTAGGTACCTGCAGATCCTTGAAGGGTTTTTGGGGTTGAGATCTGGCTGAAATTTTCTGCTACTCTCTGAGATCACAGAGGCTGTATTAAGAAATACAGTTTCTTATTTAGAAATACAGTTTACCATTTAAGGAATAAGCCATACTTTTGGATATTTTTTTTGCCAGTGGTAGGATGTTCAAAGTCATTGCAGACATAACCTGGAAGTTATTTTGATTTTCTGCAGTTCAGAGCGCAAGTGAGAAAGCATATTTGTTTTGTAATAGTCTTGATAGCAATCATGAGTGTAAATGTTCAACTTGCCTTTTCCTTGTGGGTGCAATTCAGGGCCAAATTAAGAGTCCATTATAAGCAGAATATTTATAAAGTGAACCATGCTATTACACCTTGTTTGCAGGTCAGTGAGTTCTAAGGAAATCAATTTATTCCATCCAGAAAAGTAGAACCTAAGCCTAGCTCTGATTCAGAGACCAACCCTTATGTGGCACAAATAAAATCAGGGTTCTAGAAAGTGGAGACAAGTATTAAATTTGTGGTCATTGCAACACCTTTCTGCTTATATGGAGTTATCACACTATCTTGATTTTGATCCAAAGTACAAAATTATCTTCTTGTTTAGAGAACAGATTGAAAGAGCTGCAGGAAATGTCCAGCAGGAAACAAAATCAATACATTCTTAGAGTTGGCTTATTCCTCTCTTTCTTCCCTTTTCAGCTTCAGGCAACATGCAATGTAAACCAGTCCTTATTCAACGACTGGTTTACAGGCCACCTCAACTTCCAAATTGAGCATCAGTAAGTACATTTGTCTTACGGGAAATGGAAATTTGGGGAGGGGTGGTATCTCAGTTTCAAATAAACTAGAAAATAAGGGGGATATTGCTTGACAATTGTGTTTGCTACCTCTTTCACTGTTGTTCTCACCATATTTGTCTTCTGAAATTTCACATATTAGCTTTTCTGAAGTTTCACATATGATCCTGAATGAAGAAGAACATAAGTATTATGCACAATAAAAATGTTCAGTAAGATTTCCCAGGTTCCTTCAAACCCTATTATTCTATGTTCTAATAATTCATCAGACACATTCCAAGGAATGTCAAGTTGCATTTCACATCTTTCATTGTTGCTTTATCTAGAACAAATTTCCTCTACCCTCTTTCCTGATAACTTAATCTGAATCCTCCTACTTTCCCCTACAAAGCCTGTTCTTTGTTCTTTAGCCCTTGTCCCTTCTCCCTTTGCCTGCTTATTCTCCAAATGTTCATCCTTATTTTTCCCTGAGAAAATCAAACTGTCACTCCCCCCTCTTTCACTCCTCCTCATAGCCCAACCTAAAATCATAACCAATTTACTCTCAACAAAGCTGAATACTTCAATGGGGTGATACTTTCCTTCTGCCCTTCTCCTCTCTGGCGAGATAGGCCTTCTGTTAATATGGTCTTTCCTCACATGCAGCACCTTCTCCTGTTGTTCTTCTCAGTGTTTTGAAGTAGTATGAATGACTGCCCTACAAAAGCTGTACACAACTCAGTCAGTTGACCTACAGACTTACCAGGCTCCAAAAGAGATGAACGTGGTGGTTAGAAATCACATTTTTTCCCTATTGCAGGGAACAGGAGTTATGACAGATATTTATTTAATCCTCATTGAGAGGAAATAGTCCTGGACCTTTCTGCACTATAGCAAGTTGTTCATGCAGATCAACTGTCATACTTTATAACCGTTTAGATTTTGAATATTTTACACACTCTTGCAATCCACCCTTTTTGGAGAGGAGACTTGGATTTCCTCTAACCCTTTTAGTGTCAATGATAGATACTTGTTATAGTCTCCTCATTCCAGGCCTCCCATTCAGATAGTTCAATCTTTCAGCCACTGAAGCCTGACAAGACCCATTACAATAATCTGTGAAGATAGTTAAAGGGAAAAAATGGCAAGACATAGCCACAGAAGGAAAACCCAGTTTGCAATCAATCTTAGATATATCTCTGCCTATTTTGCTTAAGAACTCAATCAAGCTAGGCAAGAGGTGCCAGAATTCTGCTTAGGTGCTTCTTCTAAACCTTTCTGTTCAGCACCATTGGGAAGAGGTTGTTGGGTTTGAAGGTATGCTTATCTCATTGTTACAAAAAGAGGAGCCATAGACTGCATGACGTCTTACAGGTCTCTCTCTCTCTCTTTTTTCATGTAGCCTTTTTCCCACCATGCCTCGACATAATTACTGGAAGGTGACCCCCTTGGTGAAGTCCATTTGTGAAAAGCATGGCGTTCAGTATCAATCTAAGCCTTTATTCACAGCCTTTGCAGATGTTGTATGGTAAGCATTGGCTCTTATAACAAAGCTGAACCTTTTTTGTCCCAAAGGTGCTTTCCCAAAAGGCAACTGGATTTCTTGTTTTTTTCTTTGAAAATGTTTCACTTCCCATCCAAGGAGTTTTTTCAGTTCTCAGCTTCTTAGATGAGAACTGAAACATTTTCAAAGAAAAAAAAAACAAGAAAGTCCAGTAGCTTTTTGGAAAAGCACCTTTGTGACAACCATAACCTAGATGATAGAAAATCTCTGTAGACATCAAAACTTTTTTGGCAAAGCAATTTCACTGATGAGAATGCATTTTTGGAAAGACTAAGGAAAATAACGTTGAAAGAAATATGTAGGAACTATTATCTAGACAAAGGAAGTTGAAACTCAATCTAGAGAAATGAAACAACATTCAGAATCATCTCAGGCAGATGTCACCTTGATTCATTTAACCATAAGGAAGAGGAAGAAGAGGAAGTATATTGACTTATGACCATAATTTAGCTTGCTCATCACAATTGTAAGCCATGATACTCATAAAACAGGTTGGTCACAGGTATTGAATTGTCCTGCGTGGCCTGGCATTTATGCAATTATGGTAAGATAAGGCTACATATGTCTCTGTAATACTGGAAAAGCACATGTCCTATTGTTTCAGTGTGCCCAAAGTCACAGGAGCATGATCGCACTGGGTTAGGAATCTTCCTATATTAGCCTTCAAGGAGAGCTGAGGAGAGGGCATAATATCATGCCAGAGTAAATGCCCTCCAATGTTTAGATATAATATGTTATTTATTTATATCTATTTATTATTCATATTTATTTATTAACTTACTTTTCCGCTAATCTCACTATGAGGTGACTCTGGGTGGCTTACAATATTAAAAAAAATAAAACAATACAGAAACCAATTATCAGTTATAACTAAAGGATGGGAGGAAGAGAGTAGGCTGAACAGGTGGTGGTGGAATATGCTATTAATCTATCAACCACTAATAATGTGATGAGTGGCTAAGTGTCCCCTGGGGTGGCAGAGTATCTGTTTGTCCTAGCTGGATGCAATTAGTGCAATACTTAGAAGAATTATTGCAGCATGGATAGCGAAATGTGGATCTGGCAATCAAGGATCATAACACTTTAGCAGAAATGTCCTTTGGCTCCTCTAGCGAAAGAAAAGATGAGCTCTACTGTTTCTTTTGTGCTTCGGGTTCTCTTAATGCAGGAAAGTCCCCTCAGATTGGGAAGCAGATGTGGGAATACCTTTCTATGAAGATACTGCTTGTCTGGAGTTTATTTTGCTTACAAGACAGTTTCTTTTGGCCTGACTTGAAGTTATGTGGATTCTTTGACTACTGCTGGTATGCAACTCTCAGGGGAATCAGGGCCAGGGTCACTTTCACTGTTACTGGTGAGGAAGTGTGCTGGCAGCTTTTTCTTGTATGAGTCAAATGACAGACAACAGTGTGAGATGGCTTAGAAAGTAAAGCAGGTTAATTGGGCAGATGTTTGTGCTGGACATCCATATTGCTACCAGCGTGTGTGGTGTGTATGTGTGTGTGTGTGTGTGTGTGTGAGAGAGAGAGAGAGATAATTGTTGTTCTGATGCCTGCTAGTTTTTTTCTCAGATTTCTCAAAATATGTTCTCTATTTTTATAGATTTAATTTCCTCCCTTAAAGTGTGTTTTGGCTCTTCTCTTTCGACATGGCTGGCAGATTTACTGGCATGCACCTGCCTGCAGATTTACTGCTATGTACAGTAAATTTTTATGGCTTTTATGACCATTTGTTACTTTCCAGTAGTCAGGTCACAGACTAAATTGTTTTTAAGGACTCTGATAGTTTGGATGTGATGAGTCTGCCATAGGATGGATTTCTAGGAGGAGTTGCTTTTTTGTAACACAGCAGTAGCTGGCTGCGTTAACTGCTTCCAGATGCCCTGTTGACATTGTAGAGCAGGCTGTCAAAATGCCCATAGGGCAAGCTTCTGTTGCCATTTTAACCCTGACATTTAATTGTCATCGAGGATTTGCAAATCAAGGGCTTGTTGGAAGCTGTCTGCCTTGAACTGCAGTGTGATTTAAATTATGTACTATAAAGATTTCTGCAGATAAAAGCCAAATCTCATGGAAAGGTTGAGCAATGTGGCTGTGGGAAGTGCATGTGACTTGTTCAGGAGGTTGTCTCCCCTGCTTCCCTGCTCTGGAGGGTACTTGGGTTGAAGCTTTGGAAGGCTGAGGAGGAGCCTGACTTGTTCCTGAGGGATTAAGGAGATCCTGAAATGCTACATCTGTCACTCATATTTTGTGTTGTGGGGAGATACTCGATCCTCATCTGTTTCTCTCCTTATTGGAGGTATTGGCCCCCAGTATCATTACTGGGCCTGGTCCAGGTTCTCTGGATGGCATTTTTAGGCCATAGGACTGAGTCAGAAGGAATAAAAGCAGTCACAGGTCAGGAACTTATTACAGGAGCTGTCACTATCTTTGGTCCTCCAATTGGCTTTGAGGAAATCTTAGAGTTCTGAGATTACACTGATAGGGGTAGCATATAGAAAGAAAATGCAGGTGTTCTAAGATATTCTGTGCCTACCGTGTTTCCCCGAAAATAAGACATGCCCTGATAATAAGCCCAATCAGGCTTTTCAGAGCATGCACCATAATAAGCCTGCCCTCAACTATTTAAGTGCATGCACAATTGGTCCCCACCATTATAATTGTACCACCTACTGGTACAGCTTGCGGGGCAAAAGAGGGCCCGCCGCAAAAACAGCGGCAGGTGAAGCAAAGTGCTTCCACCCCCCATCCTTCCCTCCCGTGCAAAAAGAGCCCGCCACAAAAACAGCGGCAGGCCAGCAATGCGATCACCCTCTTCCGCCTGTTCTTTCTTGTGCAAAAAAACACCGCCCACCCCATCCCAATGATAAAGGCAGCCTGCTTGGTTCCCTTCCCCGTCGCCCCTTTAGTGAGGGGTGGCAGGTGGTGGTGGTGGTGGTGGGAGTAGCGGGGCATGCCTCTTACCTTTCCAGGTCTGTTGTGCTCCTCCCCCTTTTGCCAAGTGAATCCCCTTGTAAAAAAAACCTCATGAGTTCAACTCGTGAAGTTTTTTTTACAAGGGGCTTCACTGGATGAAAGGGCGAGGAACGCAATGGACCTGGAAAGGTAAGAGGCGCACCTTGTGGCCCAACACCGCCCTTCCCCGCTGCCCTTTTAGCGAGGGGTGGCAGGTGGGGGGGGGAGAGAAGCAAGATGTGCATCCTAGCGCTAGCAGAGACTGACAGCTTCGCTGCATTCCTTGCCCTTTCGTCCAGTGAAGCCCCTTGTAAAAAAACCTCGCGAGTTCAACTCATGAGATTTTTCTTTTACAAGGGATTCACTGGACGAAAGGGCAAGGAATGCAAAGGACCTGGAAAGGTAATAGGCGCACCTCGCTTCTCCCCGCCACCTGCCACCCCTTGCTAAAGGGACGGTGGGGAAGGGAACTAGGCAAGCTGCCTTTACCATTGGGGCAAGGTGGGCGGTGTTGGGCCGTGAGGCGCACCTCTTACCTTTCCAGGTCGGTTGCATTCCTTGCCATTGTGTCCAGGGAAGCCCTTGTAAACCCCCCCTTCTCGCGACTTCAAGAAGTTTGATTGAACTCACGAGGTTTTTTTCCCCAGCGGCTTCCCTGGACACAATGGCGAGGAACACGATGGAGCTGGAAAGGTAAAAAGTGCGCCTCGCTTCTCACCTTCCCCAGAAAATAATAAGCCCTCCCCCTATAATAAGCCCAAGACCATATTTCATGGGGCAAAAGAAAATAAGACCCTGTCTTATTTTGGGGAAAACACGGTATTTGGCTGGTGAATGGCATGCAAATCGATGTAAGCACATGGAAAAATCTCATATGATTACTTGGTTCCCACAAGTCACAAACAAATGTGTGAACCAAATCTTTTGAAAAGTATAGCTTTATACTCTGGTTTCTCTTCAGTTCATATAAATCTTTCCCTGTTTACTATTGAAAATAATAGCCTCAAAATGTGATGAAAACACTGCCATGGTTTATTCACTGAATGGTTTATTCACACACGTGAGCCTCTATTTCACCATAGTGAAATAGTCCTTGAAATTCTGAGCACCGCAGCAACTTCCCCTGCCACAGTGGGGGAAGTTGCAGCCTCTGACAGTCACGTATTCATTCTCAGGAGTGAAGGTTGCAAGTTGCTTCTGTTGCTTTTTTCTATTCCTTTTTTTCCTGAGGAACCTGCTAGAGAGAATGAGATCTCAGGGATGTATTTCACAGCACGGCTCCTGCTTAAAGTATTCCCTGCCCAAATTGTGTAGCAACCCCCTTCACCTGGCTGTACTTGCATGGTGTAACAGCATCCCTTCCCGCACCCAGCCACAATTGCTTGCACAATGCTATTCTGTCCCCTCACTCACCCAGCTGCACTTCATAACACTCACCTTCCTGGTTGCCGGCCTGCTTGCAAGTTGCCTGAGACTTTGGATTTCCTACCAGTTTCCCTATTGACTTTGTTTGTGGGAAGCTAGCAGGAAATCGCAAGTTATATTCACATGAGATCCTTGCTTAATGACCTGCAATCTTCACTTAATGAAGGCAGTGAGGACTGCCAGGATTGTCATGGCTAAATGATGGAATTAGATAATGTTATGCTTTACAACCCTATTGCTTGGTGATAGAAATTCTGATCCCAATTGCTGTTGTAAGTTGAGGACTAAACTATCATTTCATGATGACTTTATGTACATAAATAAGTCCTGTCATTCTCTCCAGCAGATAGTACTGTCTTAATCCCTGTAATTTAATTCTCTCCAGTCCTGTTCTTCCATTTTAGATGATCCTTACGTTTCTTATCCTACCATTCACATTTGTTCATTGGTGTATACCCTACTTCTTCATAGTGCCTGAGCTGGCTTCACCTCTTTTCTACTCTTTCTTCTAGCTCTCTCAAGGAATCAGGGCAGCTCTGGTTGGATGCCTACTTGCACCAGTAGGAGCCAAACACCATCCCTCATGGGACATCCTCGTCACCTCTGCAATTGAAGAAAGCAAGTGCCTGGTTCAGTTGGAGAAGATTACCCTTGTGAACTGAATTCTGAAGCCCGGTGTTACCGCTCCAAACATTCTCATCTTTCCCTTTTTAACTTGTGTATCTACCATCTCTCCTTTCTGTCTGAGGACCTGAAAGTTTGTTCAAAAATACATATTCTTCAGCCTTCAGGACCAGAAAGCAACACCAGGAAAGGCCTTCACTGCCACTTCACTAAACTTGGTGTTTAGCAAAAAACAACAGCAACCCACTACCTTAGTTGCCTATTCATTATGGAGCACAAGAGCCTATTTTGTGGAAGCAGTTGAAAGGAGAGAACCTGGAAAGAGAAATTCAGGCGCTGGGAATAGAAACTCCTGGTAGGGGAAATTCAAACTGGGCCATAGCTTAGCACTGTAGAAGTTTGGAGAAGGAAGAAACAAAGGAGAGGCTGAGAGCCTTGATCGAAATAAATCAGTCAGTTCCTGGATGTAATTCACAAGTACTAGATAATAGTTAGGCAAGCTTTTCTATGGGGAGGAAAAGAGGATTATCTTTTGTGCCACAACTCCCTGACATTCCTGGATGTACTTTACTTAAAAGGATAAAGAATATAATATAATTATCCACTTGCCTCTTCTATAAGTGTATAAGACAAATTAGTGAAAGGAGACTAATGAATGTTGATGGACTTATTATTAATTATTAGTGCAAGTAATTGCTGTTTATTCTTTGGGCAAATCTGCTGTTACATTTTGGAGGTGCAAGAGGAGAATTAAAACAAATCTTTCGGTATTGCTTATTTATTATGGTCAATTTCTATGCCTGAATTAAACACTGTTCTCCAGAAGGACTAAACTTCTAAAATTTATGACCTGTTGACTTCAACTCCCAGAATTCCTGAGCCAGAATAGCTACCAACCATCCCCAAAGCTGTAGGCTACATTTTATTCTCATGCAAGTTGACAGAGCCAAGTCTTTGTGCTCTTCCTCAGAAAAATGGGAACCAATATCATCTCTAGGGGCAAAATGTTCCATAGGGTGGGGCAATGGCAGAGAAGGCCTAGATCCCATCATTCATATTTCTTTAACTGAAGGGAGCCATAAAATACCCTCTCATGACTAGGTGCTATGGGTTGAGGTAATTTGGGTAAAAGAGCTTCTCGGGTAACTAGTACCATGCCATGAATGGCTGTAATAATGATAACCAACACCTTGAACTGAAAGCAAACTGGTACTCAATGCAGTTCATACAGCAGAGGTGTTATAACACAGTCCTTGGGACACCCAGAACAACTCATTAGCACACATTCTGTACCACACCAGCTACAGTTTCCAGATACTCTTTAAGGATAGTTATATGTAGGCACATTGTAGCATATCACTAAATGAGCACCGAGGGAAATATTGTTTCTGTTGTTAAATAGATGGATTGTACTGGATTTTATTGCACACACTTTATATGAGTGTTACAGAGATTATCCATGTAGTATAGTTGTCAATTACCTTGCTGCCTTGAAGCTAAACAACAGCCAAGTATCTCCCCCTATGATTTTTCCACAATCATGCTAGGAATATTGTGTCTAGTTCTGGTTAACTCGATTTAAAAAGGACAGCAAGAATTGAAGCAAGTGCAGAGAAGGGCTACCAAAGAAGGGAAGGATCAGGAAACCAAGCACTTACAGGGAAAGTGTAAAAGGCATATCTATTTTCAGCCTGGAGAAAAGATAGCTTAAAGAAGATATGATAGCCCTCTTCAAGTATTTGAACGGCTATCATACAGAAGAAGAGTGGACATGTCCTATTTCCCCAGAGACCAGGATCAGAACTGATAGGTTAAAATTACATGGAAGGAAGTTCATACAAGCTATCAAGAAGAAATTTGCCAGCTGTGTAGACTTTGTCAATAGAAAGCTTGTTATATGAAGTGGTGAGTTTTTCACCAGAAGTATTCAAATGAAGGATGAGGTGCTCAGATACGCTCAAGTGGATTCTGTATTAAGTATAGCTTCATACTTCCATCTGCATTGCTTCCTGATATCCTCACTCAAACTGCCAGTACTGGATCGTGCAGAAAGATTTGGGTGGAGATTCCAGATTCTCATGATCTATTAAATTTTTTGCTTGTTTGACAGTTGAGTTCTGTAAATTCCTGTGTCTTTGCATTGCTTTGATCTCGTGGAGTTACAGTTTATGCTCTAAGTTACTTCAGCAATTTATTCTGTGAATTTCAAAACAATTTTTGAAATGTGTTCCAAAGTCATAGTTTAAACGTCTATCACATGTTTTACAAACTTGTTTGGAAATGCCGTTTAATTGCTGCTTAGTTTGAACAATCTGTCACTGTTGCAATATAAATATGTTTTTATGTGCTAGCACTGCAGGCAAGAAAGTTATTTGGATGCTTGCCGCAGTCCAGAGATATGCAAACTCGGACAGATGTTTTAGAAGTGAGGAATCCCTTTTACTTATAGAATTTGTATAATATTTGGGTGAATACTAGAGGAAAAATAATCAACATTGCTATTACATGTGTACTATAGACCATCCATTCAAGCAAGCAAAGGAAATAGATGAACTTTTTGCTAATCAGTTAGTTTAGTGCAGGAAATATGCCACTATAGTTAATGGGGGACTTTAGTTACCCTGGGAAACAAATTTTGCAGTGAGATCAAACAGACTCCTGACAAACTAAGAGAGAGAATAGGGAAGAATCCATTGATAAAAATCCTAGGTGACCAACAGTCCAGGATTCTAGGGATACTCTAAAAATGAGATAATAAAGGCCCAAGCAAAAACAATACCACAGAGAAAGAAAAACAAGAGATTCCAGATGAAACCAACATGAAAAACTCAGGGACAAAAAGGACAAGCATAAAAAATGGAAAGAGGGACACATACTGTAACTAGAAAAGAATACTAGCAAATAGTCCTAATCTGCAAGGATGGAGTCAGGAAGGCTAAGGCTTAGAATAAACTAAGACCTGCAACAAATGCTAAAAGATATAACAAAAAAGTTTCTTTCACTATGTAAGGAACAAGAAGAAAGTCAGGGAAATAAACAGAAGATGGCAAGAAAGCGACAAGTAGTAGGAAGAAAACAGAACTGCTGAGTTCCTTCTCTCTAGCTGTCTTTATGCAAAGGAAAATAGTACAACCTATCACAACCAGCACAGTGGGACACAGAACAGGAATGCAGATCAAAATAAGCAAGGAATTGGTAATAGAACACCTACCCACTTTGGAGAAGTTGAGATCTTTGGGACCAGATGGTTTATCCTGTTTCCCTGAAAATAAGACCTCCCTGTAAGCACAATTGGGCTTTTGAGCACATGCACTAAAATAAGCCCTCCCCAGAAAATAAGCCCTCCCCAAAAATATTGCAACACAGCAGCAGCCATGAGATGACCATGCTTGCTGTCTCCTGCACCTCAAAAATAATAAGACCTTCCCAAAAATAAGGCCAAGTGCTTATTTGGGGGGTCAAAAGAAAATAAGACGGTATATCTCGGTACTGAAGGAACTGGCAGATGTGACCTTGGAACCAATGAATAGAATAGCAATAATGCTTAGATTTATATTCTACTCTGTAGTGCTTTACAGCACACTCTGAACGGTTTACAAAGGTCAGCATATTGTCTTCAACAATCTGGGTCCTCATTTTACTGACCTCAGAAGGATGGAAGACTGAGTCAGCCTTGAGCAGGTCAGGATTTAACACTTGGCTGTGGACAGAGTTAACTTCCAATTTGGCATTCTAATCACTGTGCCACCATGGCTTATGAAAGAAATGAATCTGAGGGGATTGAAGGTGCCCATACCAATCAAGGTAGGGGGAATTACTAACACTTTGGAAAATAATCTTAAAATTATATTGACTTATTGAGCATTGGCCCCTATCCAAAAAATTCAGTTCAGTGGTGGGAAAAATAAAGTTTTGTGCTTAGGCAGGAAAAACCAAACACACAGGTACAGAATAGGCAGTATCTGGCTCAACAGTAGTACCTGTGAGAGGGATCTAAGTGTCCTGGATTATTGTTTAAGTATAGGTCAGCAGTGTGTTGCAGCTGCCCCCCACCAAAAAAAGCTAATATAGTCCTAGGCTGTATCAACAGGCGGATTGCATCACAATCACAGGAAGTGATAGTACCGCTCTATACTACACTAGTGAGGCCATATTTAGAATACCACATGCAGTCTGAGCATCAGAATACAAAGAAGATGCTGAGCCCCTAGAACAGTGGTTTCTCAACTTTTGTTTGACCATACCTCACCTAAGCATCTCTAAAATCCCAATGCCCCCACCCCTGTGACAAATAATTCTTACTTTACTCAAAAAGTGAACTCTACTCATGCGGAGGAAGCCTAAAAGGCCATTAACTTGATTTAAACAAGGTTCAAATTGCCCCCATTAAAAATCAAATTGTCCCCCTGTGAGGCGTGGGCCCCACGTTGGGAATTACTGCCCTAGAATGCAGAGAAGAATGACAAAGATGATAAGGGGTCTGGAGGCTAAATCATATGAACAGCTAAGGGAACTACGTATGTGTAGCCTCTGCTTAAAACCTGACACTGCTTGGGGTAGAGTGCTTAAACTTCAGAGGCTGAAGTCCTTGAGAGGCTGTCAATGGATGAAGGATGCAGGTCTGGGGTTTTGCTGACTCTGGTCTTCAATACAACCAAAATTACTTGCTCCAGAAATGTTATCCCTAAAAGTCCCTGTCTCTACCCCTCTCCCTGTCCTCCCCTTCAAGTCTACTAGGGCTATAACACTATGCTACCATTATAGCAGAAAACACACACAGCATTGTATTGCATCACTTGACAAGTTTGACTTGTTTGACAGGAACTATACATAGAATAGATATGAAATATTTCTGAAATATTTTCTATTAAGCAAAATCAGCATTTTAATAAAGACATCTCTCTCTATATATATAATATTGCACATTAGGGTTTTTCTGAACTAACATGCCCATGGAAATGTCTCAAATTGCTTCTCTAAAAGACAACTGGGTTTTCTTGGTTCTTTCCTTGAAAATGTTTAGGTTCTCATCCAAAAAGCTTCTTCAGTTCTGACCAAATGGTGCGGAATGGAAGGATTTATATTTTTCCGTTCACAGAGTCACCTGAATTCCATCTCTCAGAAAGCAAATGACCAACCTTCAGAGTGCTACCAATCAGATGACAGCAAAGAATGTTTTCAAAGAAAGAAAAACCCAAGAAATTTCAGTTGCCTTTTAGAAAAGCATGCCTTTAAAACAACCATGACCTGGATGATTAAGAATCTCGATAGACATGCACAGAGACAAGGGCAATGCAATAACATGCTCACAAAGAATAAGCAAAGATCAGGTTGCTTACTGAGGCAGTCCTGATGAGAGTGGGATGCAGTCGGTACATTGTTCTGGGGCCTATGTAGCTCAAAGGAGTCCCATGAAAGGGAAATTAAAAAAAAATACAAAACCAATTTTTTAAAAAGAAAAACAATACTGAATATATACTTCATACTATAGGAGGGGAACTTCACCAAGACAGTGTTGTACTAGGAAGATCAGGCTAGAAAGCTTAAGAAACAGTACAGCCCATAACCAAACTAGAAGTCACTAAAATAACAAACCCGGCATACATTTTAAAATAACCTCCTGAGAATAATTACCAGGATATCAGGACAATTATTAGAAACAGCTGCAGAGTACAAAATAATACAAAAGATGTGCAGGAAGCAGTTACCTTTGAAATAAGAAATGTCAGAGTGATAACAAAGACTGATTAGCTCAGGGCAAAGATTAATCAGGATTATGGAGAACTGATTAGCTCAGGGCAAAGATTTAATCATAAAACAGTGAAACAGGAAGTACACCAGAAGACACTAGGTCTCATCCCTGTCCCATGGGGATTATTTTAGGGCAGAGGGAAAACAAAACACAAGACAGGATTGGAACCATTAGCAAGGGCATACACAAAAGCAATCACCCAATAGTACAAAGAAAACAAAAGGACTTCAAAGAGGAAAATGGTATAAAAATGTACACTTATTGTATATCAGGGTCAGCTCACCCAGAAATGCTTATCCACGCCACTGTTGGTCTTGTCTTCCTGAAAAATAAAGAAAACTTGCTTTCAACACAGCTTACTTTGATCCTAAATTCTTTCATCACACCGGTGATACTCTCACAGCCAGGAAGACCGAACCCTTTGAGGAAACCTTTTCCATTTAACAATTGGTGACTTTACAAAGGGACTCCCAGCTAACCTAGCCACAATACAGGACCCAGAGATTCAACCCAGTTGGCACAGACCATCTTCGTCCAGTAAAAAATCCATGGACCCTGCCCAGGAGACATCAAGTAGTAAAAGGAGTCTTTGAACCTTGAACTCAACAGCTGCTTGAAAGCAGTTGAGTACAGCTTTAAATCTAAAAATCCATAGAATTAAGGGGAACAGAAGTCTCTCTGTGTGTGATTTCATCTGAAAAATAGCCTGATCTCACCTCTTCAAATGACCACTAACCATCCCCCACCTGTCGCTATGTCCAACAAGCCGTGACCGTCAGAATCTGGAAAGCAAGGTTTTTTTTTTTGCTGAAAGTGGGACTTTCTGTTTAAAGGGGAACAGAAACTGAGTGAATGCCAAAATGAAAGAAAGGAGGTAATAAAAGGAATAAGGGAATGCTGGTGTGTCAGAAAAGGTAAAGGCCAATTGTGCAGAAAAGAGAGAAGGAGGTGCTAGTACTCACTGCAGAGGGGCAGAGGTCCTTCTAGGTCCCCTTTTTGGATCTGAAAACCTTAGCCAGAATTCCCTACAAGGAAAGGGGCCGAATACTTCATTGAGGGAATCAAAGTCCTTCCTGGAATCTCTCTCCCCCCCAAAAAAAACTTACGGTGGGTCACCCAGCTAAGCCAACGTGAGCCTTACATTTAAAGGGTCATGGGAAGTGTTAGCTCGCGGGTGACAAGAACTTCCCTTGGAGATTTCCTTGAAGCCTGGGATGCTAGGCACATGCCTATCTTGGCTGGCATGAGTAAAAAGAGAGCAAGGAAACTGTGACAAATGGGCTTTGCTAAGAGATGACACTGGGAAATAATTATGGCCTGACAATGGTACTTTTGATTTTAACACCTTAAAAGCACTTAGATCAAAAATAAAACCCAATTACATACCCTATTGGTACTGCTGGGCTGAATTAGCTAGAACTAAAAATTTAATGACTGAAACACCACTAACTAACCCTGAGAATAAAAATGAGGCTAAAATTATGTCCACTTTAATAAGCAAACCTGTATCAGGGAGACAGAGAGGCCAATTCAACTACGTCCTAACACATATACCTTTTTCCGCCTCAGACTTGGTAATTTGGAAAAGAGGTGCACCAGCCTTTAGGGCAGACCCCCAAAAGGTGATCTGAACCCTGAAAGTAATAGTAGACAGTCATAAACCATCCTGGGGAGACATGACTCAATTACTGCATGTCTTTCTAACAAAAGATTAACTGTTGAAATTATTTGAACAAATTGCCAAATGATCAGTTATAGTTGCCCCGGCCAAGCTGGCCTGGCACAGGTTGCCTGGTTACTACGTTGCCCTGACTGGGATTATAATGATAATAATCACTGGATCACATATACTAGAGCTAAGGAAAACCAAATGGAAGCTCTAGAAGAAATTGGGAAAAAATCTCTAAATTAGTGGGAATTCCAAAGAATAACCCAGAGAGATCAAGAGAACCCGGATGCCTTCTGGGTCCGGCTTTCAGAGGCAGCCACAACCTATGCCCACCTAGATTTAGGCTGCCTAAAGGACCAGAGGATACTTGCCTCAGCCTTCGTTGACCAATCCTTCCAGGATATTAAAGAACTTTTCCATAAAATAGTGTCCAACTGGTCTATGTTGGAAATATCGGAGTTGTGTAGCATCACAAACTTTGTATATGACCAGAGGAACAAACTCAAGGAGGAAGAAAAAGAAAGGAAAGAGTTAGAGCGGAAAAGAGAGAGAGATAGGAAAAGGACAGAGAGGCAAGAACTACAAATATTTGCTGCCATGCATAACAACGCAAGGCCAGCACGACAGTGGTTTTCTGATAATGGGCAGCAATACTGGTGGTGCAAAAAAGTGGGGAACTCCTCATACAAATGCCACCATTGCTATAAATGTAGGGAAGTGGGGCACTCAAGCCAAGAATGTAATCAGTTCTCTAACCATTACCGGCACTCGGGACCGCCCAGACATTTTAAGCAAAGAGACAGCCCTTTCCGCCATAGCAAGCAAAGGAATAGCTATTGTAGGGAGCTACCCACAGCTCCCCTGCCATGGAATAATCCAATCCGCCACAACGAACACAATGAGCCTGAAAGAACCCATTGGGAAGAAGAAAGGGAAACTGATCCACGTGTCCAATGACTAGAGAAGGAAGACAGAGAGTTCATAGTCACCTTTCAATTCTCTTAATGAACGGCCTGGAAGGAGAACTTATGATTTCACTTTTCATAGGTGGGAAAGAATATGAGTGCCTAGAAGCCACAGCCTCATTAATCACAAAACCACCCCACAAGGATTCAGTGAGGCTAAGAGCTCAAGACAATATAATGGGAGGGGGGGGGATCCCAGTAGAATTTACTAAAGAAATAAAAGTTGACTTTGGTTCCTTCACATTGAACCATTCCTTCACCTTCTGCCCCCAATCCCCAGTTTCCCTTCTTGGCAGAGACTTTCTATGTAAAATTGGAGCCACCATAAAATGTGGAAAAGGAGGTCTCACCCTAAATGTCCTGGGAAAAAGTACGTTTTTGCTGGTCACTTATGAGACATCACTTCATGCTGATCTGTAAGCCCTGCCCTCCTCACTATGGGGCTGGGACTCAACAGAGGTAGGATTTCTAAAAGGGGCCAGCCTTGTTATGATCCAAGTGAAAGAGGCACTCCTCTGCATCCCTCAATATAAAATCCAAGTGGAGGCCGTCGAGCCCATACGCAAACTGATTAAAGCATATCTGGAACAAGGAGTCTTATATAAATGCACCTCTCCTTGTAATACCCCAATCTTTCCAGTAAAAAAATCCAAAGTAGATAAGGAAGGGAATCCCACCTACAGATTTGTGCATGACCTGATGGTCATTAATTACCATGTGATACCCTGAGCCCTCATCATCTAACCCAGCTATAATAATAATGGAAGTTCCAGCCTCAGCCACCCATTTCGCAGTCATAGATCTGTGCTCCACTTTTTCAGTATCCCGGTGGATTGAGCATCACAGTATCTCTTTGCTTTTACCTGAGAGGAGCAACAGTACACATGGACCCATCTGCCCCAAAGTTATACAGAGTCCCCCACCCTATTTTCACAGATCCTGTGAAAATCGTCTATTTCACTGCCTGAGAAATCAACTTTAATTCAGTATGTGGATGATCTCTTCCTAGCATCTACCAGCGAACAAGCATGCAAAATTGATACCCTACACCAGTTGAGATCTCTGGCAGAGAGGGGACATAAATCCTCCCCCTCAAACTTGCAATACTTGAAACAGGAAGTGACATACCTGGGCAATATTATTGCTCCAGGAGTGAGAAAACTGGCTCCAAGCTGGGGGAAAACCAATTTAGCAATGAAACCCCCCCATACAAAAAGACTAGTAAGAGCCCTCCTGGGTATCTTGGGATTCTGTCATCCTTGGATCCCATCATTTGAAGAACTGGCTAAACCCTTAATACAATTGATCACAAAGGACATGCCAAACCCCATAACCTAATCCAAATCCTTAGATGAAAACCTCAAAAAAAACACAACCACAAACGAACCCTGGAATCAACCCCTGCATTAGGTCTCCCCGATTATAATAAACCATTCACCCTATTCATCCATGAAAAATTAGGGATTGCATCAGGAGTTTTAACTCAATACTTCGGTCCTGCACATCAACTGGTGGCATACGGTAAAATTAGACCCAGTGGTTAAGGGAACACTTCCCTTCTTAAGAGCAGTGGTGGCTACCATAGAAATAGTACAAACCAAAGATCTAGTCCTTGGACAGCCACTGACTCTGAGGGTGCCCCATGAAGTGTTTGCCATTCTTTTAAAATCCCAAACCCACACCCTTTAAGCAATAATGCTTAGCGCAATACGAGGCTGGACAATTCACTTTCAACCACATTACATTTGAACATTGCAATATTTTAAACCCGGCTACCTTGCTGCCCATGGAATGATCAGATGATAGTCTCTATGAGAGCCTCCATTTAATACAGGACTTAGAACTACCGTGCCCAGACTTAACTGACACCCCATTACAAAATCCAGATTTTGAACTCTTCACGGATGGCTCCTCATATATCTATAAACGAGAAAAGGGTTGCAGGAGCTGTGGTAGTTTCACTCTATGAGATTGTCTGGGCAGAACTGCTCCCCCCCCCCCCCAGCACATCACACAGTGACAGAGCTCATCGCCTTAACAAAAGCTTGCGAAGCCTCTAGGAACCGGTCTACCAATGTGTATACCGATTCCAAATATGCATTGAGGGTCTGCCATGCTACGGGAATTTTATGGAAGCAACAGGGGTTCCTAACAGCTGGCCACCAAATAGCTCACACAACCCTTGTTTCTAAACTGCTAAAAGCCATCCAATTACCCAAATCCATAGTAATCATCCACTGCAAAGCTGACCAAACGGATAACTCCTTAATCACAAAAGGGAATAAATATGCTGATGCTATAGCAAAGTGGGTAGTTACAGAATCCCTCCCACATAATATAGCAGCCCAAGGTATAAGAGCTGATCCTGAGATCCCTTATGAAGACTTCTTAGGGGAATGGGAAGCAAAAATGGAGAGGGGGAAATTAGGTGCAGTCTTTGCAGGGTTTGGAGCTTCCCGGATGGTAGGCCTATAGCCCTATGCTGCCTCATAAGACTAATCTGCCAGAGGTTACATTCAAAAGGCCATTGTGGGACACACGCAATAGTAGAGAGTATGGCATGCACCTGGAATATATAGCGAGGCAGCTATATAGTGGCTAGCAGCTGCCAAACATGCCAAGCCAATAAGAGCACATCATAAGACCATTCATGAAGGGGCAGACTAGGGGCAGACTAGGGGCAGACTAGGGGCACAAAGACTCTTCGAAAGGGTGCAGATGGACCTAAGGAAGGTAATGCCCTCCCTACAGAGGCGACACAAAAGGGCCTTTGCGACTACAAAGTATCCCTTCTCACAAAAGCTGAATATGTTTCATTGGCTGTATCACTAGTGGGAGTGCCAGGACTAGCAGTGTGGAATTCCAGAAATTTGAATAGCCTGGCATATACCCTAGCAAAAAGTTTTAATTTGACTTCTCATGTTTTGGATGCTCTTAACAAAGAACTAAGATAGGGTAGAGAAGCCACCCTGGAGAATTGTGCAGCAATAGATTTCTTATTATTAAAACATAACCATGGCTTCAGGGAATTTAGAGGACTGTGCTGTTTTGACCTGGAACAAAGCTCAGAAATTGTAGATAAGGACATCCATCATATGAAAGAGCTAGCATAGAATATTGGCCATAACCAATCATATCTATATTTTTCCTGCTTTTTTTTCCTGGCTGCTTGACTTCCATTGGCTCAAAGTCCTTCTAGCAGGAATTGTTGCCATTTGTGTCATAGGGGACCTCCTGTGTTGTCTCTGCCATTGCATTCCTCCCTGCCTTGCCAGTTTAAAGACTTGCTGACCCACTCCCTCCCCACCAGATACCACCAGGCACCAGGCAGCCCTCATGATGATTCAAATTGACCTGCATACCAAATACACTCAGACACTACACTAGAAACAGAAAAGGTGGAAAAACACACATAGTTGCTTTCAACTCCCCCCCCCCCCGCCGAAAAAGGAAGATTGTAGGAGGAGAACTTCACTGAGAGAGTATTGTACTAGGAAGACCAGGCCAGAAAGCTTAAGAAACAGTATAGCCCATAACCAAACTTGAAGTCACTAGAATAACAAAGCCAGCATACGTTTTAAAAGAACCTCCTGAGAATAATTACCAGGATATCAGGACAATTAGAAACAGTTACAGAGTACAAAATAATACAAACGACGTGCAGGAATAAGACCTTTGAAATAAGAAATGTCAGAGTGATAACAAAGACTGATTAACTCAGGGCAAAGATTAATCAGGAGTGTGAAGAATCGATTAGCTCAGGGTGAATATTTAATCATAAAAGAGTGAAACGGGAAATATACCAGAGGACATTAAGACTCATCCCTGCCCCATGGGGATTACTTTAGGGCAGAGGAAAAACAAAGCCCACGGCAGGATTGGAACCATTAGCAAGGGCATACACAAAAGCGATCACCCAATAGTACAAAGAAAACACAAGGCCTTCAAAGAGGAAAATGGTATAAAAATATACACTTACTGTATATCGGGGTCAGCTCACCCAGGAACGCTGATCCACGCCACTGTTGGTCTTGTTTTCCTGAAAAATAAAGAAAATTTGCTTTCAACACAGCTTACTTCGATCCTAAATTCTTTCACCGTGCTGGGTTGCTCTCCCAGCCGGGAAGACTGAACCCATGGAGGAAGCTTTTTCCTTTTAACAATACTCTATATTTTGTGTGTACAGCAAAACTGCCATGCAGCCTTGTTTGACATAACCTTTATGGGCATGCGAACCCCTCTTTTGGGGCCTAATAGGCCTCACTGCAGCTTTCCGGGAGCAAAAATGGGCCATGGAGGGGAATGTTGCACCCCTCCCCTCCACACTCTGTTTGGGCCTAGTATAAGGTGACCAGATTTTCAGATTGGTAAAGAGGGACACCATTGACCTGGGGGGGGGGGGCTTGAATAAAAATTTTATATGGAGCAACAAAAATTATATCACCCCAGGACACTGAAACCATCATAAATACGAATCTGTTGCCAAACTTCAAAACAAGCTAAGTGTGAAAAATGGTCGCTAAGTGTGAAAAATGGTCGCTAAGTGTGAAAAATGGTTGCTACCTGTGAAAAATGGTCATCAGTCACTTTTTTCAATGCCATTGGTCACTAAATGAACTGTTTGAAAGCTAAGGCTAGCTTGCATTATAATGCCTTATGCTAGCTTACATTTTCAAGAGAGAGAAGCTAAACTCCTTATTAGAATTGAAATAGAAATGAATACAGTAGAGTAGAATAGTTTATTAGCCAAGTGTGATTGGACACACAAGGAATTTGTCTTTGGTGAATATGCTCTCACTGCAGGGAAAATTAGAAGGGAGTTCAAAGTTCATTGCTTTGAGCTTCTGAATGAAGGGAGGATTAAAGCTCAAAGATTAAGTTCATTTCCTCACTGATGAATTATAAGCCTTCAGGGCCATACACCGAATTTTGAAGACATCTCTCCCTCCCCCGCCACCCAACGAGACAAATTTAGCCCTCTTAAACTTGTGCGAAGGAAGGCAGCTGTGGGCAATGTTGGTGGGAGTTAGGATTGCTGCTGCACCACCCTGGATTTGGCAATGCGAGCCTCAGATGGGTAGCCTCAAGAGAAACAGCGGCAGTGTGTCTCCTGACTTCTCTTTGTACCTTGTTGCGGAGAGGTCGCTCAGCTTAGTTAGCTCATTCGTGGTTCGCGACCAGCCCCCACCCTCACCCCTTGTGGGCTTTTATGTGTTAATCAAGGCACGGATGATGGAGAGGAAGGGAAGCCAGCTGCTTTCACACACCATACATCTCAGAGGCTGAATTAATCACGGAACTTTCTTTCAGCGAGTTTTGGCCAATCCCTCCCTCCTCCCCACCCAATGAGACAAATTTAGCCCTCTTAAACTTGTGCGAAGGCAGCTGTGGGCAATTTTCCCTCTAAATAGTTGCTCAAGGAAGCCCAAGCCACCACAAGCCCTCAACCTAGTTACTTTGCTGCCCTGCTGTACCTGTTTAGCTGGAGGGGGTTTCAATCGCGATTGTGCGGCCGCTCTGCAGACTGCAGTCTGTGTCCAGCAAACAAAGGCAATTGGAAATGCTGTGTGGTGTTTACTTTCCATGTGCGTGGCCACCTACGTCATCAACGTGCGATGGACGCCAGGCTATGTGGTGATGCCTCCAAGTCCAATGGACAGCCGGCAAGCATTGACTGATAGGGCAGCATTCGTCTCTGTTTGCAATTAGCTAGAGGAGATTTCATTCACGATTCCACGGCCATTCTTGCCAAAATTTACTTGCCAAAAATCGGGACTTTTTTAAAATGATGCAGGACATGGGACAAATTATTGGAAAGCATGACTGTCCCGCCAAAATTGGGACGTCTGGTCACCTTAGCCTAGTAGGCCTCCTACAGCCTCCTGGGAGCAAAATGGGCCATGGGGGAGGGCCCACAACCCTCTGCATCCCGTTTTGTGCCTACTAGGCCTCCCTACAGTACAATTATGACATTATTGATTTAGGTGTCCATGTGTAGGTGTGGGGCCCCATATTAATCTTGTTCCAGCACTTAATAATCCTCTCAGTGGCCCTGTCCTGAGGAATTTATAAGTTAAATACTGATACTATGGCAATAATGGAGGAAGGCAATAATAAAGAAAAAAATAGGACATGATAGGATCTTTCTGTGCTGATTTATTAGTTATTAGAGAGTGTAGTAGTATTAACTGGCCTTGACTGATTTGACAAGGCAAGCATGGTCGAAACAGGTTAGTCTGTACCCCCCCCCCCTTTTCCCTGATTTGATTTGTTAGCCGCCCTGAGTCCCCTTCGGGGGAAAAGGGCAGCATATAAGTATAATAAATGAAATAAATATAATAAATGAAATGAGTAGTTAGAGTGGAATCCTAGGGTTACAGACTGGTTGTCCCTTCATACACATCCCAAATTGGAAGACAACAGCAAGTAACCTCTATATGGTTGGTAAACTGGACCTGAAGGAGATTTCACTTTTTAAGGGAGATCCACATTTTCTGCCTGGTGCATCAAGAGTAGGGATTATCCTTCTCTTCTTGAATGCAATAAAAGACAATGACATTTTCTCATCCTTCCATTTAGTTTATCCTAAATGCACCTGCATTGAGGTTTGAAGCTGTGCTATAAAACTGCTGTTTTGTGTCCCAAGCTGTTTTAAACTATTCTGAACAAATGGTGGCGGCTCTTCATTCTGGTTTAGGGAAAGCTCCCACCTATAGCTCATGGCCTCTTCCTTTCAGAAGCGGGTGTTGGCCCTGTGCAACCATTTCATCCTAGGTTGCCAAATTACTATGCTCATTGGCAATTAATCTTTTTTACAATGGTCCATTAAGTCAAGGCACTTCCCTCAAGTTATTTTTCCAGCCCTTCTAGATGCTCATTGTTCCATTCACTTTTGCATTTCCCAATGGACATCCTGTTTTTTGAGTCCATGGCGGGAAGCAACCTCACTTTGCACCCCTACCCAAAGTAGCACAAATCTTCTATTCCTTCCCCATCCCCCACCTTTAAGTTGCAATGTAGGCAGGTGGGAATGAAGACATAAACACATGTGTGTGTTTGTGTGTGTATATAATACATACACACAGTTTTATTAAAAGTTTCTAAAAACAAAGATTAAAAAGTAATAGAAACTATATAAAGGAAGGGGAAAAAATCAAGGAGAAAGCGAAAAATATAAAAAAGGTAAAAAATAAAAGAAAAATGGAAAAGAAAAGAAGATACAAAGAAATAGCTTCTGATCTATTTTACAGCAGGTAAGTACAAACTGTAATTATACATTTACTTCTTACTCTATATTTGTAACATCGCTCTTCTTTTTAGTATGCCTATAAATCCTGTCCAATCATCAAAATTGTAAATCATAAGTTCATTTTTTTTCTGTTTTGTGCAAAAAATTTCTTATAATGGGTTTTTAGTCAACATTAAATGTACATGCGGTGTTTTTTTCTAATCAAAGAAATTGTTTTAGCCATCTAGGGAAGTTTCATCATCATTACGAACCATTTCTACATTGTGGGCAGTGTCGAATATTTCCACCTTTGTGCATACAAAAACTCACTGCAATTATCGTATATGAAAATAAAGGTTCATAACTTTTTTGTTCAGTTGTTTGTCTACCAGTTCCAAAGAAAAACCTCAATTGTTTATTAATCTTTAAAATCTTCTGAATCAGTGCATGTGTTTGAATCTAGAATTTTCTAGCTTTTTCTTAACTCCAAACATGACAAAATATTCCTTCTTCTTGTTCACATTTCCAATATAAATTTGAAGTTTCTGTATACATTCTAGATAATTTCTCTTGTGACATGTACCAATCATACATCCTTTTGTAAACATTCTTTAAGATTGTAGTATAGTGTAAATTTCAATACTTTCCCCCACATATTTTCCTATAGTTCCATTTGTATATTAAAATCAAAAATATTAGCTCATAGTGTCAGACATTCATTCACTTGTTCTTTTTCTGTTTTAAATTTTAATAAGATTTTATACATTTTAGCAATAATGTGTTTATCATTTGTATACAGTTCTGTTTTAAATTTAGTCTTACAATGTTCATAACCATAAATTATTGTGTCTATTTTAAACCTGTCTAATAATTGTAAATAAGAGAACCATTGACAACTATATCCTTTTGCTACCAGTTATTCTCTTAATTTTATTTACCTAACTTTCACCCTTTCTCTCTCCCCTGCCAGTGTTGCCCAGACTCCTTCAGGCAGCTACAGAAAGAGAAAAGAGAAGGGGACGGGCAGTAGTGAGGGTTTCTTCACCAGGCAATCTTTTTTGTGCTCTTTCTGGCTGCAGCATACTTTTGTAAGCCAGTTCCTAAGAGGAGTCTCCCTTAGCTGTGAACTTTCTACATCTGCAAAAGCAGTGAGGATGAGCTCATACTGAAAACTGACAAAGAGAGATTTCATCAGAGGAGCCACCTTGTAATAACTGTGTCAAGGCATGGTGGGGAAAAGGCTACAAGAAGAAGAGAGGGTGTCATCCCAGAACTTTTGCTAGGTCCAAAACATGGCAGACCTGGTTTTAACATCAGCAATCTGTGATGTATGACTGCCCTGAAGGCTCCCACTCCCACACACATTTCTATGGCCTGGTCTCTTCTCCAGATTATACTCACTGAATCTGGAAGTCCAGGTGCCCAGTGAAGCAGCCATTGAACCAGGAATGGTTAACATTACATGTTGCTGAGAGCCAAGGGAGAAAGAGACAGCGGGTGAAGCCTTCCAATTGGCCCTTTTCTTTCCAGCTACTGTTGCTAGGGAGGCTCTGTAAAGAGTAACACTTAATCCTAGAGCCCTTAAAAGGCCAGACTGTAGGCTCCTTCTGCAGGCAGTCGGACAAAAGTCAAAAGTTGCATTTTTTTGTTGCACTATTTTTGGAGATGACTTTTTTTTAGTTCAGGGTGGGGGGAACTGCAGAAGGATTTTATTTCTTTGCTCACTGCATTCCTTTATTCTTCACTCTGGAGTCAAGACAAGTTTTTTAAAAGGGATAGAGATTGGAGAGCAGAGACAGAGTTTAGTTTTAGCACCTAACTAGGGTAATGGAGGGGGAGAGGTCTGTCCCTCCTGGGGTTTTTGGGGGGGAAGAAAGGTAGCTTTCTTTGGGGAGGGGATGGAGGGAGGAGATTAAACAAGGCAAAGATTTTGGGGAATTTCATTCTGAAGCTGCCTTTTATGCAAGGACTGACTTCCCAAAGCCAGACAAAAACCAAGACAGCTTTGCAGTCTCCTTATGGCTAGTTGTTAGGGGACCAACTAATCAGCTCAGAAAACAGTGCTTTCCTTCCCCATTGTTTTTCCATAGAAAAACAGTCAGCTGTGTGGTGGGCCTGCCTGCAGGGTGGGGTAGGCCTAGAGAGGCCTGAAACAGACAGACTTGTGCCTGCCCTAGGCCTCCCACCCTTTAACTCCACTTAATAACTCCATGCATTTGTTTAGCGAATGCCCTGGAGAAAGCAGAGATGACTGGTCATTGTTTGAGGCAGTTCATTTAATGTTGTCTCGACCTTCCACCATATAGGGCAGGCTCCATTACACTTGTAACTCAAGGACTACTTTTAAATATAAATGTATGTAAACAAAATGAAATGGAATAAATTGTAGGTTTTGTCCTGGTCCCTATATACATTTTTAAGATGAAACTTCCAGCAAATCACTCAGATTCCAAGTATGGATGTCACTCAAAAGTGCTATGGCAACTGCACTCTCTCTTTTCACCTAACCATTTGTCACCTTTTGGAAAATGATGACAAATAAATAAGGAGAAGTGGTTCACTTACTGACCCTGTGTCTATTTCTGGCCTGCCCTATGGTTAGTTACATGAGTGTCTGTCTTTAAGAGATAAAAGGGGGTTTTCTGATCCACTCTCTCTGTGAGTTTCTTGTACTTCCCTCTCTTCAAGGTGTAGTTCATATAGAAGTGAGGCATTCATTTTCCATAAATTGAGATTGAACAGCTGTTATATTTGATAGTTGGGCTAAACTTGCACGGTGCAGTCAAGGCAATGATATTGAGAAGAATATCATTCTGCCATATAAATAACAATCCGCATATTTGGATATTCTCAAATAATCTGCATTTGCTAAGCACACGCTCCAACAAAGGGTGCCTGCTGAATTTGAATTCCCAGAAAAGTGGGGCCCTAGCAGTGAGCCCCACTGGTTTCAAAGGAATTTGTTCTCAGCAAAATGAAATGTGTTATTACCTTCTTAGCATTTAGCATTAATTTAGGCAATAGCTTCAGGCAAACTAATACTTTCTGTCATATGATTTTAGTTATGCTGGCTATTATTTTCTGTATATCTGTGGAAGCACCATGAATACACCAACATACTATACTGCTACTGAGTAATCTTATGCTTCTGCTTTAGCATCAGATAATAAGCTGCTGACATAGTCAATGTCAGGTTTTAATGTTCCCCATTATGTTCGGCATCAGCTTCAGCATCGTCCTGCTGAAATGTTTCCATATACTTCATTTTATTTCATTTTTTTGAGAATCTCCCCTATGCCTTAATAATTTCTTGCATGGATTATTTGCTTCAATCCTTCTACCCCCTTCTTTTTCTTTTGCAACATAATCCCTTTTTCTAGCAGATAAGGCAATGAACTAATCCAGGCAAAGAATCAAGGCTCTTTCCCAATGCTTTTGGTGACTAGACAACTTACTTCGCACTCATGAAAGTGCTATATTCAAAGATCAAGTGCTCCAAAGCATTAATGGAAAGATGGTGCCTTTAAGCAGAAAAATGGAAATGTTTTCACTTCAGTGGGGATATGGCTCACAGGAGACATCCAGAGAAACCATACAACTTCCATGTGGAAATAAGTAATTATGAGAAATAAAATAATAATAATTAGAAAACACACTTTGAGAAAACTCACTTTTGATATTTTTTAAATAGGTGTCTGGGACAAACTTGGTTATTTCATTAAGGGTTTTCTATAAGAGCTGATTTTTAACCTATTAGAAAAGCTTTCCTGACAAACCTCACTTGTTTCCAGACTTCCCTCTTTTCTGCTCTCTTTTCCTTTATAAACATCCCATTTGTTACCTTCCAGTGAAAGACAGGTAGGAAAATGGGAGTAAGATACTCAGTAACCATTGCCTGTAAATGTCTCTTATTCAGGGAGGTATTTATTTAATTATACTTCAAACATTTAAGGTCTTTCAATGCAGAGAGAATGACTATTCCCAGGGATAGTGGTACTGTGAAAGTCCTGATGTCAGATTTTCATTCTCAAGACAGAGCAGTGAATTCTCTCAATTCTTTACCAGTACCAAACTATTGTNCCGATCTATTTGGGGTGGATTTCTTTATTTGCAATAAATCCTGGGTTTTCCTCCCTTTTTTTTAAACGAAGGAAAATGACAGATCTTCTCCCACTCTTCCGCTCCCGCCCCACCAAAAGGAGACCAGAGAAGAGCAACCAGATCGAAAGGAAGGGAGATATGATCGTGTTTGGAAGGAGGGGAGGGAGGAGCCTCACCCCTCGTCAGGTGCTGCGAGAAAGCCGAGCGGAGGGAGGGAAAACACTGCCCTCTAAAGGCCACATCGGGAACGACACTTCAGAGAAATAAATACTTTTTTTTTAACGGCATCCTTTTTAAATCGGGACTTTTTGAACACGCAGTGGGACATGGGACAAATTTTGAAAAATCGTGACTGTCCCACCAAAAGCGGGACGTCTGGTTACTTTACAGAAGATACCATCCAAAAGAACCAGGATGTCCTAAGATACAGTTATTTTAATTGAAACCGCTATAAACAGTTGGAAATAGTACCATGAGAAATATTAATTTTTCCACTGTATTATTGGAAACATTTTTTTACAGTGACTGGGTTGGGAAGGTTATGAGTAATAGGGCCTTTAAAAGGCATTAGAAGCTAATAAAAGTCATGAAATTAGTTCTTATCCTTCTAGGTTTGTAAGGTTATCTTTTGAAAGTGTTTGTCTGTTTTCAGATGTGGGTGACTCTCACTTGAAGTCTAAGTTTCTGTTTATCAAGTACACAGTATGTTTCTTGGAAAATATCTCAAAAAATCATTCTTTCAGCTAGATTCTTCAATTATTGACCTTTGTAGCACTGGTATATCTTCTTTGAGCCAGAGAACCTCCACTTTGCTGGGGAAATTAAAAAAAAAACCTTCATTTTACTATTAGATATCTTCCCTTTGGTTCTAATGTCCTTGCCCTAAAATTCCTGGAAGGCTATCTGATCAAGGAGCTTGTAGCAGACTAGCAGATGATTCAGTGTTAACTTCCCCATTCCTACTGCAGATAAACTAGCTAGAAAGATGTGCATACTTAATTACCAGCCTTATCAGCCATAGGAACAGAAGGGTGAGAGTTATAATATTTTAGCAATGAACCCATCTTCTGGGAGGGGTGTTGTCTATTGCTTGCTAATGATCATGTTCCTTTGTTTTCCAAAAGTGTATAAAAGCCAATTTTTGTATTGGGGTTATCAATTTGTGATGTAGTTTGGAGAGCACACCTCTTTGTGCTGTATACAGGTTGCAAAATATCTCAAGTTGTATGATAATTGGCTACTTCACACCAGGGAAAAACAAATTCAGCATTGGAGCAACTTACAGTTTGGTCAACCCCTTGGCAATGTCTTGTGTTTTTGGTTTTTTTCTCAAATAACAGAGAACCAATTTCTGCTATTGTGAGCCACTGGAAAATATATTTTTGACATAGAGCAGGATATAAGGTAATTGTCCCAGGTGTATTTCAAAGAAGGGGGAAAAAAATGCATCTTCCTCTTGACATGAGATCAATCCTGTAGTGGCAAGAGGCTGTAGAGCACAGGATGATCGGATTTCCAGGCAAAGAAGAAAGAGTTCAGGGTCTATGGAAGGAATTTCAGGCTTGATTTGGAGTTTTTGAGTTGGTTTTGAATAGGCAACTCTGTTATTCTGATTATCTTATTGAATCTTTAAAAAAAACCTAAGTAGTCAAATTCATATACCATATCAGTGCACTTGATAGAATTCAGATGGCTTCTAAAACTTGGTTGAATTTGAAACTCTTACAAAAGGTAAATATCTCACAAGATTTCATTATGGGCACACATGCATTCACTCTTACCCATGCATTTACACATAAGCACATAGGTCTGGAGTCAGTTTGGTATAGAGATTAAGGCATAAGGTTAGAAACCAGGATACTGAGTTCACGTCCCATCTTAGGCACAAAGCTAGCTGGATGACCTTGTGCAGAGATTAGTCCAGGTAGCTAGGAGTCAAAAGCTGATTTGAAAGTACATACATAAAATTATATAAAAAAACAACCATAAGCCTGACACCTGAAAAGAGTTGAGCCCAATTATTTATTTATTTTGACTGATTGTTACTGACATGCTTCCCTGAAAAGTTATAAAAGGCTTTTAAATATATCCCATGACTCTGGAATAAAATTTCGCATTTGCTTAAAAACTTTGTCCTTGTCCCCTAGTCTAGAGAAATTTTATTTGCGAAAGTCCCTTATTAATTTACCCTAAACTTACTTAATTCTAATCCTACATACATCCTTGAAGTACAAACTTTGGGAGGTTAAGGACAAGGGATTGATGCCAGAGAAGTAGGTCATGTGCAAACTTTCCATCCAAGCTGAAATCCAGACATGTGTAAAGGCACTCATTTTGACTAGACTTGTTGAATTTAGTGACAAACACATTTTTCCTGTGATCATCAGAGAGTGTAAACAGAATCAGATGTCATGGTTTTAAGAAAACATAAGCAGAATAAAAAGTACCTACATCCATTATCTAAATAAGTATTCTCCAAGTTAGTACTGAAATTCGTGCTGGCAGGGAATTCTGAAAGTCATAGACTCAACACATCTGTTGTATGTCAAACTGGGAAGATTGGTTTGTATTAACCAAGAAAGGCCTTATTGCAGAAAACAATGTGGATTCATTCTACATTTCATCCTTACATAACAACATTGATTGTAAAACAGGGATCCAGTTATCTTGATTTGATGTTCAAATAACAGCCTTTGAAAAGCCATTATGATGTCATTTCACCATTTTAATAACTAAATGTTGGCCTGTAACATTGTGCAATGTATATGTTCATTTCCAGACAAATGATAAGGAACTTTGATCTTATAAAAGCTTTTTTGCTTAGTAATCTTTACAAGTTTTGGAGAAAATTCTTTCCTGGCATTGGAATGAGAGATGCTTGTTTCAAATTCATTCATTGTCTATGGTTAAACTTTCATGGTTTATTAACTATAGTATTCCATGAAGCTATGTAGAAAAACTGACTACTGACAGTACAGTAAAGACAATTGTTCTTCACATACTTAACTGAAAAGTTCAGCATGGTTCTTTTTTGTATCATATTCAAATATTTGCAGATAAATTGTATTCAGACATATTCAGGAAAAAAAACCTTCTATGCCAAATCAGATTCATTAGTTCAGCATAACTGAGCTACTATGCAAAGCATAACAGCCTCAATTTTACAGTTAGATGGTTTAATTAGAAAACAACCAGACCTTGCATGAAGATTATTTGGCAACAAAGCCAAGAATCCAATTCAGATGCCGGAGTTTTTGCCCATCTAGCAATAAAAATATTGCCATAGTGAACCAGACTGTTTTGTACTAGCAACCAGAAAAGACTGTTAACTGTGAACTCCCATACTTCAGTAAAATACTACAAATTTCTTTGTTTGTTTAATTTATATGCTGCCCATCTCACTATCAAGCGACTCTTGAATGCAGGAGTGAACAGAAATTGTGCAATGTGGATTTGTGAATTATCAAACTCATTATTCCTGTGAGTACAAAATATAATAACATACGTTCTGGCTGTGCCAATAGGAGAGATGTTGTGAAATAAATTTCATTAATATGCTCAGAGATTCTTTGACACTTTCAGAAATAGCAAATATATTTTGTATATATAAATGAATGAGTATAAGACAGTTTTTTAAAACTTAATTTTGAAATCAGTTCTATGCTCAAATAGAAGGCACAAATCAATGAAGCCGGAGGCTAAGCATTTAAGATTAATTGTCATTGTTTAAAAAAAGATGTAATCCTCTTATTTTCTATGGGAGCAGCCACCTAATTAGTTGAAAACTAATAGTTCTGTCAACCTGCCCCTCATTTTGATCAGGGAAAGCAAAGTGAGATTCATCATAAATTGAATGGAAAATAGGGCCAGGTCTATGTATCAGAATTTAACCATTTCCTAATATTTTACCTACAGAAAATTCCCCAATGTTTCTTTCCCTCCTCCAGGAGATAAGTGTGGTAGAGGAAAGTAACTTGCTTACCTGGATCACTTTTCTCCAATCTGGGCATCATTCAGACTGTGGATTTCAACTCTAGAACTGGTGGTGTACAAAACATCTCAAATGCAAATTATTTTGAATGTGAAACAATCCATTTCTAATGTGGAACAGTTTATTTAAAATAGGCTGGTTCTATAATTTAAGCAGTATTTCAAACTCAAGGATAGTTCTGGATGAAGCTCTAGCACTTCTCCCCGTGGGAGAACTGCCCAGAAGGGCCTTCTATTTGAAATCATTTTAGGGTTTCCCAGCATTTATTTAATCTTGTATTCAATATGCATGTGGACACAACAAGGAGAGAGAAAATGAATACTTGTACAATACTTGTGGTTTTTTATTATTATTAATAGCACTGATGCTAAGAACCATTTCTCTGGAGTAGCCCTAGATGTACAGTCAATTTATAAATATAGGCAGAAATATTTTCAGTCGAAGAGTTTCTGAGAGAGGCTGTTTGAGCTCTGAATAAAAATTCAGACCAGTAAGGAGCTCCACATCACGAACACGTGCTGTATGAGTCTGCATTCTTTCTTCAACCCACAGATTGTCTGGCGATTTGTCCTGATAAAGCAAGCAAATATAACATTTGAGCTCTGTTTTGGCAGATAGTAAAGCAGCTTACCAGTCTTCTAGGTTTGAAATGAAAAATGTTATAATTTTTTCACAGCAATCAGCTATATTCATGGAATAGCATATCAAGTGCTAGAGTGGATTCACAGAGCTAATCAATAATTATTAGATTTTTATGGCCTACACTGTGTGAGATTTAGATGAGCATACAATCCCATTCTACTATAACCGGTGGAAACACAAAGTGCCTCCCTACTTTTTGTCTTCAGTAAAAATGATAGTGAAAATGAAAAAAGAAATTCTTACAGTTTCACCAGATTTTGCCCCCCCCTTTGCCCCAATTCCAGAATTAAAGCTTGAGAAAATATGCTGTGAACATTAACCCTTTGGAACGAGCTCCCCGTGGAGATTCGTACCCTCTCCACCGTCCAAGCCTTCCGCATAGCCTTGAAGAACTGGCTCGCCCCTCA